AACAAAAAGAAAAAAAGACACAAACACAGAAAGGAGAATGTCTTTGGTACACTTAGGGAGTTACATGCTGGGTAATGAATGTAGCTGTAAATAATCCAGGTGGGCCTGGGTTGGGGTGAACTGTGCTTGTCCTTGGGGAAAGTAGTTTGCACAGACACAGGACCTTCATGTTAACTGAAGTTAAAACTTTTCATGAAAATTCCAATGAACAGGTATCAAGAGCCTGTTTTGTTCAAAATGTTGAAAACACAAATTGTACCAGGTACTTCATACACAGGAATATTTGCTTTTCTGTGTTTGCATGTAAGTAGGACCCAGAAAATTAATTCATCTGGGTTGAAAGTCTGCCTCCTTTGTTTGCTTCAAAATGACCAGAAAAGGCTGTAATTTCTTGGTGGTGGAATGAGTGATTACTAATACCATCATTTTTTTTCATCTTTTTTTTTTTAAAAGAAACTATAACAGTTAAATATTTGGAAATTTAGGAACAGTTCTTAAAAACCTATTTTTCCATGTATATTCCTACATTCCTATATTGTAATATTAGAAAAGTTCAATATCAGGGAAAAAATATCTGTTGTGGCTTTTTTTCTGAATATTTAAGAACACTTTTGCTGACACTTAACGAAATCAAGGAGTGGGTAGAATTGAGAGATTAAACAGAAACCAAACTGTGTTTGCAGATACAAGAGATGATTCATTTGAAGATGACCTTGCAGTCATGTGGCGGTCAGAGATGAGGAGAGCACTGTATCATTTGAGAATATCAGTATGAATAAAAGTAGTAATAAATCAGTTATAATTATTCAATGATCTTTAATTCTGAGATTTGTACTTTTTTATTGTAAAAATACTGTACAGAGGGGTGACAATTACATGGGGAGATTTGTACTTTTACTATGACAATTACATGCTCATACTGGCTTGTCATATGAACTTTTTAGCTCCTCATAAAATGACAGTTCTAAAAATTAAGTTCTCAGTGTGTTACTTGGCTCAGAAGCTGAACCCCAATATGAATATAGCTTCTATTCTAGTTACAATAACATATACAAGCAGTTGCATCTTGAGAAATGTGTGTGTACAATAGAGTAGGTTTAGGATTGAGGTTTTACTTCTAACTTTGCCTCTTTATCTTAATGCTTATAGATGTTTTTCTTTTAATTTCTCCAAATTTCAGTATCTTTAGCTGTAAAATGGAGCTATTTAAATTGTTATTGTGCTGCTGTATGTAAAAAGTAGGCATTATTTTGGTCATGTTGTTTTCACTAAGTGAATAACTTTTTTCCATTTGTACTTTTTCACGGAGATTTCTTAGGATGAGATGTGGTTATAGGAAAGGAAGATTAGTAAGTGTCTCAGGGAACAGCACTTCAGTCCATCTTTAGTCATTTTTGAAAGAACATATATTGAGTAATAGGTTTAGGCAGACAAAGAACAAAAGGAGAGAGAGATGTATAATTATATAAACAGACCTGGTCAGAGTGTGATGTGATTGATCATTATTTCAGTCCTCTTTTGGAGAGGAAGACTTGTAGACCCTGTCCAGTGATGACAACGATAACAAGGTCTACAAGTCTTCATTGTCTAGTCTGTCCCGAGGAGGCTCCAATGTTCCTTAGGGTTAGTTCAGGTCTGTTGTTATAAAGATGTTATTGATCAGTCCTGTCCTTCCTGGAACTCAAAGTCATTGCCTGCACATTGACTGCAGAGAGAATTCTTTGGAGCAAAGTCATGCATAAAATGGAAGCTGGGATGCCAAGCTTTTCTCTTTCTTTTGGTTAATTCATGGGCTCAAGTAAGCAAAAGCACCTTTTAAATACCTATTACAGTAGATCAACAGAAAATAAAAGCCAAACTTCCTTAATATTTGGCTAATGTCTTGATATTTAAATGGGTCTTTGGTTTAAGGTTTGCTTCTCCTCTGGAATTCATATAATCTGCTCACAGTTCTTAAAGTTCTTGGTCATATATCAGCCAACATTGAATTAAAAAATATTTACTGTAGGTTAAAGACATCTTTTTATGATATAAATAGGCTAGCGTGGAACTAGAAGCCCCAGGCTTCAGCTCTACCTTAGTTACCTTTGGTTTCAACCTCAATTTCCTTATCTTTAAAATGAAGAGCCTTGAACAAGATAAACTTTGAGCTACACTCCAACCATAGTGCACCATGCCTATACATCTTTTTTATAGGGTAGATTGCCTTGCATTGAGTGTTTCCTGTATGGCTAGGCACTGGGGCCACTTCCTGATGGTCCTAAGATCAAAGGTTGCAGCTTACATGCTGAAGGAATTGAAAAAAAACTAAGATGCCTCCGAATAAAAGAGAACAGGCATTGAAGAGAATATCTGAAAGTAAGACGCTAGCTCTAACCATTTAAAGTCTTTAAAAGTTTATGAGTATTTTTGAAATACTGTCAGAAAATATGCTTTGCAGACCATAATATTGGACTTAGCCAGACACTTCATTTATTTTTTATTTTTTTTATTTTTTTTGTCGGTCGTGGGCTTGAACTCTGGGCTAGACACTTCATTTAATTAAAGCTGGCAACTTAGTAAACTCAATCTCTTAGGGTAAGTTTGTCTAACTTAGATTTTTACAATCACTTATTACAGACACATACAGAAGACAAATCTTGATCATTAACTTGATGGAAGAAAAAAGTATTAAAAATCTTTCTAGGAAGATTCTGTATTTTTCCATAGTTAAGTCTAATTCCTTCTGTCTAGCCATATGTTGGGTAGAGGGGCCACTTAGCTGGAAAGTAGCAGGTAAGAATGCATAGGTAGCCCAGGACGGTTGCTTTAGGATAATAGCCATTAGAGAATAGCATTTATTTATTCAGAAATGTTCATTACTAACCAGGCATTGGTTGCTTATACCTGTAATCTTAACTACTCAAGAGGATGAAATCTGAAACTTGAGGGTCAAACCCAATCCAGGCAGACAAATCTGAGAGACAAGAATCTCCAGCTGAGCAGAAAAAAAACACAAAAGGGAAAGTGTGGTTCAAGAGATAGAGCACAGCCTTGAGCAAACAAAAGCTAAGCAAGAGCATGAGGCCCTGAGTTCAGGCTCTAGTACCTATAAAAGAAGAAAAAGAAACAACAATTCATAACTAACCTGGAACAAGTGGCTTATGCCTATAATCCTAACTTATTTGGAGATTGAGAACAAAACGATCATAATTTAAGGCCAGCCCAGGCAGGAAAATTTTGAGATCCTATCTCAAAAATAACCAGCAAAAACAGGACTGGGAGCGTGGCTCAGTGATGGAGTGACAGCCTAGCAAGTAAAAGACCCTGAGTTTTAACTCTAGTATCACAAAAAAAAAAAAAAAAAACCCACTGCTTATTAACTATGTGTCATACATTTCTAGGAGCTGTCATCAGATACAAAAAACCCACTGCTTATTAACCATGTGTCATACATTTCTAGGAGCTGCCATCAGATACAGCATATATTTTGTATACAAACATGAAAGTACATAAATAGATATATGAGTAATGCACTGTTAACAGTCATGGAGAGTTTCTTTAAAAAATACACAATACTAACTCAGTTATATTCAAACATATAAATATTACTTTTGCATTACTTTACATCAACATTTGAGTCCTGTGACTGATACATTAAGAAGAGGACCAAAACTAAATAGTGCATCTACATATCAAAAACTACTCCCAAGTACATAAAAATCTACCCAAACATATACCTACTAAGAATGCCCTTAAAGAGAACACAGTTTTCTGATGCATACTCTAAACAGTATCTACAGTTGTGTATTTATACACTTGACACAAATACATATGTATATACTTTTTATCTGCAAAATATTTACTTGTATATCTTCAAAAAGGATACTTGAACCTAGAGAGCAAATAAGCAAGGGAAGACTGGGTTTGTTTCTGCACCAAGTACGTAAAGAAATGAAGGAGAAGAGAAAAATGCAAAGCAAGGAAAAAGGTAGAAAATGAGAGAAAAGTTGATGACCTTAGAAGAAGCCCAGAAAGTCATTTTCTCTGACCTCCTAGCATCCCATCTAGCATTTTTGTAGTGAACTGATAAATCTGTGAAGTAACCGTAACCACTTAGTTCAGAGGAAAGGAAAAAAATAATTTCAATTTGAAAACTATAAAGACAGCTACACAAATGGAAAGAAGTAGTAATTATGTGCTCAACAACTGTGATAAAGTCCTTCTAAAATAGAAGAGAAATTGAAATCTCAGGGAATTTTTTCCTTTGTTGGCCATGAACCCATTCCACGAACTACCAGCCTGTCTCATGTCAAACGCTTCCCTTACCGAGGAAGCGGAAGCGGTCGTAGTCTTTCCCACCAGACCATGGGTGAATTATAATTATCCTACCTCTTGTGGGACAGTGAAGCAGCAAACATCTGCTGAACTGAATCAAAGAAGCCACGAGTGAAGCTATACCAAACTGTGAATCATACCTGGACTCAGATTAAAGGGTCTGTGTTGTGTTTACCTTCTCTTTATTTTCTCTGCAACTTAAAATATGGATTTGTTAACTCTGGCTCCATGTTCTGAAGGAGGAATATATGGATTTCATTCACTGACTCCTGTTTCAGCATTGAAAAAATGCAGCTTTAAAGTGGATGGACAATAATAGTTAATAACAGTTTTCCTGTTGGTTTTGCCCCTTCACAGTTTTCTTTTGCTTTAAAAGAACAGGATAAACAAGAAACTTCAGAAGTGCACAGTCCAAGAAACTAAGTTCTTTGGTTTTACTTTCAATAATAAAGGAGTAAAAACTTACATTTTAAACTTTACTTCCAAAAGAAATAAGCCTCATGAAATACTGTAACTTGTCGTAATTTTATATATCGTGGTATACATGGTCTTACTTAATTGTTCACCTACAGTAAAGAAAGCAAAATGGTACTTCAAAGAAATGGTTCTTTGCAGTATGACCTGTGAGAATATATGTAGTAGTCTACTTTTTTTTAATGTATCTTTTTATTTTTATCTATTAGAGAGCAGAAAGACAGACTCGAATAATGGATTCGGTCCAATATGCAGAATTCTGTGAAAGTCGACAGTTAAGTTTCTGTAAGTAAGAATTTAACTTTCCACAATTATACATATGAGAGACTGTGTGTTACAGATGTACTAAACTATGACAAGTTCTCCATGTCTCAGAAATTGATGTATTTGTGTGTGTGTGTGTGTGTGTGTGTGTGTGTGTGTGTGTGTGTGTGTGTGTGTGTGTGTGTGTAGTTATAACTACTACAGAAACAACGTATGCATTGTGAGGCAGCCTATGAAAGATTTTACACATTCTACTGAAATTACTAGTATTAACAGATTTAAAGGGTTCTAATAATACACAGGTACCTATGTTAATTATTCATATTACCTTCAGTCAGTAAAATGCCCTTTTTAAAATATTCTCATTTCAGTTTCTTTTCTACTTTCTTGATCACACTTACATGGTTATTGCTGTCTACTTGGTCTACAAATAATGTTTGAAAGACCCCAGTATTAATTATAAATGCCAAATCTCTCTTTGTGCACATTCGTGACTTCAAAGAACACATCTTCCGTTTTTGTCTTCAGCCTCCTGCTGTGGCATGCATTTTGCATTGGCCAACTTCATTAGTTCATACTCGGAATACTAATAACCTCGTGATAAAACTGAGTACCAGCTTATTAAATGTGCAGACAGCCCCAGGATAGTGGCTGGATTGTGTAGCAGACCATCCTCATATCAGTAGTTCAGTGGTGAGTAAAGCTCTCTCAGTGTAGAGGTCAAGAAAGTGTGATGAAAAGTCCAGTTAGTAATATGACACAGTTGCACATGGCCCCAGCCTGCATGATTGTAGAAACAATGGGGCTCTAAACAAAAACCTATTATGTGGGCAGAGTAACAACATGTTTGACTTGGAAACACAAAATAAGAGCTTCATTTGTAGATGATAAAAAGTGCAAATAGATGACACATTTCAAATGCTGCCCCATGAAAATGTCAGTAATATATGGGAAAGCATGTTCTGGAAGAGGTTTTTTTTTTTCCCCCCCTAAATAAATATGCTTTCCAATCTGACTAACGATTTGGCATCATACATCTGTAAAGCATTAAGTAAATGACACTTCAGATCATGGCAATTTCAGCAAATGAAAGGTTTCTGAATTATAATTTTTAGGTTTAAAAATGGCATTTGCGTCTTTTAAAGTATAAATCTCCAGTTTATAAAGTAACAGTGCGATCGAGCTATTTTTCAAATCATATTTTAAATTTAATTCACTTTAAAAGAAAAATTTTAGTGTGTTATTACCCAGTAAAGCTAAATCTTTTTTTATTGGTAGTACTAGAATTTGAACTCAGTGCCTTGAACTTGCTGGGCAAACACTATACCACTTGAGCCATGACCCAGCCCTTGGTTGCTTTAGGTATTTTTGGAATGGTTTTTCAGTTGGGTCCAGCCTTAGACCATGATCCTCCTACTATACTTTCCATGTACTTGGGATTACAGGTATACCTCACCACACCCAGGTAGTCGGTTGAGATGGGGTCTCGCTAACTTTCTGTTTGGGCTAGCATCCAACCATGCTTTTCTTGATCTCTGCCTCCTGAATCTCTACAACACTTTACTTGACTAAAACTTTAATGTCTTCTAATAGCCTTTCATAGTAGATTAAAAATCAAGGGCTGGGCTGTAGCTCAGTGGCAAAGCACTTGCCTAGCAAGGGCAGTGTCCTGGGTTGAATCCCCAGAACAACAGAAAAAAAAAAAAAACTACACACACACAAGAAAAAAATCAGTATGTTCTTCTGATAAAATAATTATACTGTAAATGTCATCTTGTTTTCTATAGGAAAAAGGATTTAGTCATTTTAAGCATTTGCTTATGTGTGTATGTCCAGAAGGATTTTATTATGAAGCCTTGCTAGAAGAACCTGATTGGTGTTACAAAACATACGTTGAGCATGAGTCTGCTGGTGTCAGACACTACTTTATATGGGGGGACACAATGGTGAAGTCATATTCTTGTCCCTCTATCCTCAGAGCTTACAGCCTAGCCAGAAGCTCCTCATTCTGTTGTGTGTATGGGTAGAGCTGAATACTGACCATCCTTCTCCTCCCCACTTTTCACATAAGTATTTCAGAGTATAATCAGTGGGTATCTGCATCTGTTTCCAGTGACCTGTCAGAGCGGAAAGTGGATAAAGTGCCTTTTATTGATCTTGTCAAATTTCTCCCTGTTGACTATAACTTCACAGGTATTCCACAGATGTTAAACAAGTGTTCGTGAGCTGTTCCAGCTTACCAGTTAGATGGAATGTTGCACGTCAGATATTTGGAAGATTGGTTACCTTGGGGAGAATGCTTTAAGGGGGATTATCATAATTCTGCCACATTTGACAGCTTTGGATATGTACTTTCATAACAGGACTTCATATTGTCTATGATTTATTTAAAAGAAAACCCTTCTGTATATGGAGTCCATGAAGATTCCATCTGTGTGGATCAAAACATCATGCTTTGAGTTACTATTAAATATTCTGTACACCAGAGTCCAGATTAATAAAAAAAAACTGGATTTTTTTGAAGTATAGATTTGATAACATCTTTGCTATCAATCTTTTTCATCTGGGCACTAGTTAAATGAGTAATGTCTAAGGAAAGCCCTGTATCAAATTAGTAGTGTTGTAGATTAGAGATATTTAATAGAAGATTCCATATGTTGTTTGGTTCCATAGTGATATGGAACTGCTATGTAGGCAGGGGGACTTGATACATGTTCTTCACCCACAAAGAATGTATAATATGGTCTGAGAAATTAGAAGTACCAACGAAAGATGTCTGATCATTTCAATAAATGGCTAAAGTAGGAGAATAGACCTTTGGCTATGTGGGCAGGTTGCATGTGAATGAAGAAGAGTGGTGAGACAGCATTTCATAGGAGAAAAGAAACAGGCATTGAGCACTGAGATATACTCAAGGCCAGGTGTTGGGGGTTCCTAGGGAAGTAACGTAAATATAGAGTGGAGTCACTCTGGTTTTGAAGGCTTACGAATCTGGCACACACCTGTACCTAACTACTTGGAATGCAGAAGCAAAAGGATTCAGAGATTGAGGCAAACTTAACCACCCTCTCTTAAAATACAAATACACAGAGTAGAGTAGGGACCAAATACCCATGGCTCACCCCTATCATTGGAGCTGCTCAGGAGGCTGAGATCAGAGGATCACAGTTGGAAGCCAGCTTGGACAGAAAATTCCAGGAGACTTCATCTCCATTTAATCAGCAAAAAGATGGCCAGGAGGCATAAATCAAATGATAGGACACTAGCTGTAGCAAGCAAACCAAGCAAGAGCTTGAGGCCCTGAGTTGAAGCCTAGTACTTGCACAAAAGAAAGGGGTGGTGAGAGAACAAGGGGTACAGTTCTAATGGTAAAGGGCTTAGGTTCTGGGTTCAATCCCCATCACCAGAAAGAAAAAATTAAAAAGTATCTGAACATCTTCACAATTAGAGGAAATATAACTACAGGTTTGAATCAGGCTAATTGTCACTTAATTTCATTAATTCTAAATTCATAGCTCTGAGCCTTTTCTACTAATAAACAGATTTTGAAAAGTAGTAGAAATGCAGTTTCTCTGTGTTCTTCCCCTGATCTCCTTTTGTGTTTCTACAAGAGTAACTTAAAATTATCCTAAGCAAGCAACTTTTAAAAGCAAGCTAAAGTCAATGGTAACATTCTGAAGCAATGTGAGAAGCAGTAAATGTGAGTTTAAATCCCTCTATGCCCCAAAATATTTCATTAATGAATTAATAAATAAAATTTGGGTTTCTTAGGAGTAGAAAATTTAGACCGTAATAAAAATTCACAGACATTGCATTTATTTATATTATTTTTATGCAGTTCTCAGGACAAATTTTTCATTTTTATTGTAGTAGTATGAAGATCAAAACCCTTTAAAATTAAATTTCACTTGTTGAATTGAAACCCCTTTGTATTACTGAAGGTAATAATAATATTAAAAACAACTGAAAATGAGTTTATGTTTTGCTGTTTTTGTTTCCTTTCCTGTTCTGTGTGTTCGTTTATATGTCTTTGGGAGGATATGGGGAGGCACAGGATTGAAGGGACAAAAGGTGAACGAATACAGCAGTGTAGCCACTGCACACTGTGTGGAAAATGCACTGTGTAACTTGTGGGTGGGATGGGAGGGAAGAACTGCGAGAGAGCGAGGAAAGGGGTGACATTGTCCAAAAAGAAATTTACTCTTTACTGACTTATGTCACTGTAACCCCTCTGCAGACCCTCTTTATCATAACAATTAAAAATTTCAAATAGAAGAAAGAGAGCTTAAAATACATCGCCCTCATAAGTTATATCATTTCCAAATAACAAGAGAAGAACCTGAATCTTAGTCTCCTAAATAAAATTGAAGCCTTTTCACTTTTAGTAGTTTTCTTTAATAGTTGAAATAACTCTCTATTTTCAAATAAATGAAAAAAAACTTATTTGAATTTCTCCACTTTTTTTAATGACTAGCAAAAAAAGCTTCGAAATTTCGAGACTGGCTGGACTGTGGCAGCATGGAGATAAAGCCCAATGTTATTGCGATGGAAATTTTAGCCTATTTGGCATATGAGACTGTGGCACAGGTGAGAATGCTAAACTATCCATCAAGCTAGTTTCTACTCAGCTCTGTCCACGGTCAGTCCTGCCTTCCACCTATGCTCTGTGTAGGATGAGAACAGTCTGCTCTGTACTGTGATACCTGCCTCATTTCCTAGTTGGTTACATTTCTCTGTTTCCTTAGTGCTGATGAGTTTAAGGGTACAAGAAAGACTTTCTGGCAGCTTTATTCTAAGCAGGAATGGAATGCCAACTTTCTTTTAAGTCCTCAACTTAATCTCTACTTTAGAGATTCTTTCATGGCTTTGAAAACTGCCTTTGTATGAATGTGAGCTCTCCCGAGTGCTCGAAGTTTGGTCTGGGATCTCTGTCCTCTAGCAGAGTTCGGCAAGTGTGGTCTGTGGGACACGAGCGTCAGCATCTCCTTGGTTCACATTCAGAATGAGAACCCCCAGACGACCCCTGAGAGCAGACCTACAGAGCTGCAATCTTGGGCTTGAAGCCCAGAAATCAGTACTTTAAAACTCGTCCCTAGTTATTATAAAAATAGGCTTTGAGAACCACTCCCCTACAGTCAAAATATGTCATTTGTGTTCATGTATAGGTCCATGTGTGGTCTGTGCTCTTCTCCACAGTGCAGATCTTGAGGCACCAGTATTATCAATGCCATTCACAACATCCTGCCTGTAGGCTTGCCACTTCGGTGCCATTAATGAGTATTTCCAATTGTGTGACTTTATTTTCACTACTCTGATCTTCTAGCTGGTGGATCTGGCTCTACTTGTGAGGCAGGACATGGTAACCAAGGCTGGGGACCCCTTCAGCCATGCCATTTCTGCAACCTTCATTCAGTACCACAACTCTTCTGAGGTAAGTATTGGAAAATCAGCTTCAACACACTGGCAGATTTTGTGACATATCTAGTATTTACATTAATAGTTCCTTGAAAACAAATGTAAGAATATACAATATTCAGTTAAAGAATCTTTATACATTGTCCATTCAAATAAGTATTTATTGAGTATTTTCTGTGTGTTAGGCCATGATAGTTCACTTAATATACTGATTTTTTTAACCTTTTCTTGCCTTCCTTTGGCTTTCCTAGCCTTTTAATGAAAGGTAAGTGGGTTCAGAACATTCCTTGTTTCCATGGAAAATGAACAACTGGTTTAGGTAACTAAATAATATTGGAAAAAGTTATTTCTTTCTTTGTCTCTCAAAGATGAAAGAGTTTGAGGTTATAGCTAGTGGTGGAGCACTTGCCTAGGATATAAAGGCCCTACATTTTATCCCCAGTACTAAGAGGCAGAGTCTGAGTGACAGAGAGGGAAGCTGACTATTGTTCATATAATGATTCCTGTCCTTTATTAATAGCTTTCCATTTCATTTACTGATTCATCCATAAGCTGATTTAGAAAGGCCTGGCTCCATTTATCTTCAGGTTTTAGATTGGCCCTTGCACATAAAAGTCCTGTCCTTTTCTGATCTGACTTAGGTTTTAGAAATGTTACCCGTGGCAAACTATTTTTGTTTGTTTGTTTTGTTTTTTGCCAGTCATGGGGCCTGAGCATAGTCCCTAAGCTTCATTTGCTCAAGGCTAGCACTCTACCACTTGAGCCACAGCACCACTTCCAGCCTTTTCCGTGTATGTGGTACTGAGGAACCGAACACAGGGCTTAATGCATGTTAGGCAAGCACTCTACCACTAAGACATATTCCCAGCCCATGGAGATTTTTTTTTTTTTTTGTCAGTGTGGGGCTTGAACTCTGGGCATGGGCACTGTCCCTCACCTCTTCAAGGCGAGCACTCTACCACTTGAGCCACAGCGCCACTTCTGGTTTTCTGGTGGTTTACTGGAGATACGAGTCTCACAGACTTTACTGCTCGAGCTGGCTTTGAACTGTGATCCTCAGTTCTCAGACTCCTCAGTAGCTAGGATTACAAGTGTGAGCCACCAGCACCCGGCTGGAGATCTATTTTTAAAAAAGGCCCTTCTTGCCACTCATAAGCCTATGCATAATAATATACCACTTTTAGTTTCCAAAATATTCTCTGTAAATAGCATTTGCTAATATTTTACCTTTAAGCATAAAAAGCAATTGCATATAATTCAGTCTTTTAACCAGATAGAAGGCAGTGAAAACTCTGGTCAGTATCTTCATGTATTATTATAAAGTGAGTTTTTATCAGTTTGAGTGAAAATGTATAACCTGAACATGGCAAAGCTCTGTTTTACACCATTGCCTTAATTACTAACACTCACTTCCTATTAACCTCTGTAGGTGAGGACAGTGGCTCAAGTTGTTTCTAAGAAACTCTAAGGAATCTGTGAACCCATGAACCCCAGGTTTTAGTATTCTGTTCTAAACTACTTAAAAAATATACAAATATATATGCCATACAGCATCTTATCACAACCCAAAATGCACTTGACATCTTTTCATATACCTTGGACAGTCAGATTGGCTTGAAAACCAAGTGGGAATTCAAATGTTTATGCCTATTAAAAGTCCTTTTTTTCCCTCTTAGAAAAGGTCATACATCATTATCAGTCAACATACTTTAAAAGTCCCTAAAGCTTACTTAGTTGATTAAACACTATTTGTTTTCTTTAGGTTTCAAACCCAAATTATGATGTCAAAGAACACCCTTTAAAATGTCTTTGATGCATGTTCACTTTATGAATATGTGTATAGTATGCTTTCCATTAACATCAGACAAATTTGTTGTAACATTTCTAATTGAGGAAATTTACTGTGAACATAACAAGCCTAGTTTTCCCTTAGCATTGAAGCGATTGCTTGCGTGGCTAGAAAAACTCCCCCAGCCCCTTCCCCACCCCCCCACACTTGGTTCTCCAGGGTGGCCAAGCCGCCCTGGGCAACTGCTCAGCAACCACAGCCGCTGTTCCCAGCTACACTGCAGTTGAGAAAAATGTCCTATGTGTACTGGGTTTCCTGGGCTCTCTGGGAGGTGGGAACATGAGCATCCGAGAGCATTCTGATGGAATGTTAGTATAAGCCTCAGGCTTTTTCCTGGCCTGGCATACACCTTTCCTCCTCTGTAACAGATAGTCAAAGTGGCCATTCATCATGATTGTCTTCTTTCCTGCCCTGAATTCCCTGACAAAACACACAAGAATGCCACTGTAAAGTATTGCAAGTCAGTAACCAACATCAAGGGTCTACACATCCAGGACCTTACTAAATGAGATAGAGGGAGATCTGGAGACTGTCTCAAGCTTTGTTCAGGAATACAGAATGATTTGTAAAACAAACAAGCAAACAAACAATTCAAGATAGCATATACCAATTTCCAAATGAGTGGTCCAGACTGAAATCTCAGAGGTTAAAGTAAATACGCAGAGAACGAAAAGAGCGTGGGGTGGGGGGGGGGGGGGGGGGAGAGTGTGTGCGTATGTTAGAACCAAAGGCTTCAGAAAGAAAGCCGGAAAGTTGAAGGAAAGAAGACTGAAAGTAAAAATAGTGAGAATCTTCTGAGGCTCATAAGAATAATTGTATACAGTAAATTAAAAGCATGATGAAAATATTCCTGCTCAGTTTCATTGAGGAGGGATAGTAGGTAACTAAATTTTAAAAATTAAGGCCCTATTTGTACAAGGTCTTACACTCCTGGAGTTATTAAGGAACAGTTGGAGAACTCTTGGCTTAAAGGATGATGGATTCAAAAGGGTGTTTTATGAATATCCAAATGGCAGTGTCACATTCAGTGGTTTGGAATGGGAAACTCAAGGTCATGGAGTTAATACTAAGACCATTGTATCTAAAGGAGTATTATTCTTGAGCACTAAGTACATTAGAGACTGAGCTGCTTAAGCTTGGGTTCCTCACACTAGAGTAACAAATTTAATACTAATTCATATAAATTTTCTATTTTTTATAACATGGTTTGCATACAGATAGATACAATCACTAGGAGTTACACTATATTCCAAAAAATCCAAAATATGAAAGAATTCTGACCCCAAGCATTTTGGATGAGGGATACGCAACCAATACCTTTATTTTCCAGAAGCAAGTCATAGTAGACCAGGTTCTTCCTCTCTTTTTTGGTACTCTTTCTAGACAAATGGATTAGGAAAAACTCTTGGATTCAGTATCTGTATTTCAGCAAGGTATTTCAGAGTCTTATCTAGTTTATTTTACTACATTATAAAGAGTTTGGACAGTAGGTAGGATAGGCAGTATAGTTTGATAGGATAAGGGAAATGTAGATTGATAATAAAATCAAGGGGAGAGACAAGGGTTTTTTTATGTCTATAAGTGCCTTAGAAGCCAATATTGTTAGGTAACAAGGAGTTTTCTGTTATTTTAGTTTTCAGGCATCATCCTGTAGACAGATGTGTGTAATAATATGTTTAATAATAACTGATTGAAAACATTTAGAATGTTTGACCACTGGAAAGAAGAGACTGAAAAAAACAACAGTCTACACATATTTGAGGCACTTATGCATGAAAGAGAGAATAAGAATAAACTTATAATTATGGCCAAAGAAGCCAAACGGGGAGGGAGGGAAGCGAAGGTCTAGAAGAGCCCAAACTTAATGACCCTATTTGTTACCACTGACAAATAATATATAGAAGGTATCTAGCTGGAGGAGAAAGCTTAGGGTTTCCTTTTGAGACATGTAATTCTGGATACTAGTAGAAATTTCAAATACAAGTATCTGTATCTTACTAGGACATCAGAAGATTTAGAAGATACAGGTAAAGAATTCTGATTTTATCTGAATGTATAAATTAAAAATTATCATATTTAGAATTTTAGAAACAAGGGGAAGCATCGTTCTGTGCATTAGATGAGAATAAATAATGTCTTTACCCTTCTGAATTGCAAGTAGCATTGAAGTTATGAGGTATAAGGATAGTCCTAATGTTACTAGAAGATCTGGAGGCTTGGGTTCAAGGCATGTCTCTTTGAGCAGGGGTTTTGCATCAAGTCCTGCCCAGACTCCCCTGAGAGCACGCCTCCTCCCACGCCGACAGCTCCCTCGTCTGGATCCCAGCACTCAGGGAAAACCACATCAGGATCCCTCGGGAATGGGAATGCTGGGCAAGACGCAGCTAAAACTAAGCAGAGAAAAAGGAAAAAGGTCAGTGGGACTTTTCTTTTTCCTGGTGTAGAGTGAAGAGTTTCAAATACAAGAAAATTATGCTGTTTTTCTAAAGATCAAATTTTTAGAAGCATCCAATTTATACTCACTCATTGTCAGTGACATTTTAAACAACTTCCTTCTGGATGAAACAAGATAATATATTTTCTAATATTTTCTTATGAAACTTTTAAGCATAAAGAAGTTAAAAAGTTATAGAACATTATATCTACCACTAGAGTCTACAATTACCTTTTACTAAAGTAACTGTATATTTATAATATCCATCTAATCGTCCTTTGATCTGTCCTCTACTTTATCTTTTTCTTATATATTGCATTGCAAACTACAGACATCAGTACCTTTCATACCTAAACATTTTATTATGCATAATATCTGGTTTGCCTTTTAAAGTAAAATTTATGCACTGAACAATTTGACTTCTGTGGGTACCATTTAATGAACTTTCACCTGTGTTTTTTGGAAACTCTCTCAAGATACAAAATGTCATCAACTCCTGGTCCACCCAGCCTCATGCTTCCTCCCAGTTACTGGCTCTGTCCACAAAAAGGCAACCACTATTTTAATATTTTTTAATTCTGTTCTACAATTTCATATAAAAAGACTATGTGCCAAGCACTAGTGGTTCAAGCCTATAATACTAGTTTCTCAAGAGGCTGAGATCTGAGGATCATAGTTGAAGCCAGCCTAGGCCAGAAAGTCCATGAGATTCTTATCTCCAGTTAACCAGCAAAGCCAGAAGTGGATCTGTGGCTTCCTGCCCCACCCCAACTTGCCCCCTAGCACTAGCCTTGAGCAAAAAAGCTAGCGTGACCATGCCCAGGTCCTGAGTTCAAGCTCTAGTAACAGTACAAAAGGGAAAAAAAAACCATCTATTGTATATAGTCCAAATGTTTAATTTCTTTTACTCAGAAATTAATGTTTCACTATAACTTATTTGTCTTTAGTATTAGCTATTATTCCATTGTCAGCTTATTCATTCTCATATTGGTAGATACCTAGGCTGTTAAACAGTGTTTGAGGTATAATAAATGAACCTACTATGAATATTCTTATATTAGACTTTAAGAGCAAGTACTTTCATTTCTTTTTTATTAAAAACTGGGAATGAGATTCCTTGGTCATCAAATTAGGTGCTTGATTTTTTAAAAAATACTTTTTTTATTGTCAATAATAGTGTACAGAGGGGTAATAGTTATATGAGTAAGGTAATGAGTATATTTCCTATTGAGCATTGTTACCTCCTCCTCTGTTTTTCCCCTGCCATCCCTTCTCTTCCCACTTCCCCAACTTCTCCGCCCCCCCCCAAGTTGTAAAGTTCATTTTCTTTTTTTTTGGGGGGGGGGGGGTGTCCAGTCGTGGGGCCTGAACTCTGGGCCTGGGCGCTGTCCCTCAGCTCTTCAGCTCAAGGTTAGCGGTCTACCACTTGAGCTACAGCGCCACTTCCGGCTTTTTTTCTTTTTGCTTATGTGGTGCTGAGGAATGGAACCCAGGGCCTCAGGCATGCAGGGCAAGCGCCCTACCACTGAGCCACCTCCCCAGCCCCGTAAAGTTCATTTTCAACATAGTGTCTTGTACATCTCATTTTTACAATGGGTCAACCTGTATCCCTATTTAAGCATTTTGCTTTTTCAAGTAACTGCAAGGTTGGATTTTCTTCCCTTCAATAGTTATATCATTCTGTACTTTGACCAGTAATGTCTAAGAGTTCCAGTTGCTCCCTGCCCTGTTAGCATCCAATGTTTTCATTTTGTAGCCATGTAATAGATATTTAATGATAACAAATTGTGGTTTATGTATTTTCTTGACTAATTTTGAACATTTCATATCTGATTGCACATTCCCATTCACAAATATTTCTCTGAATAGTATCTATTCAAATTCTTCACTCAGTTTTTTGGGGGGAAGTAATTGACTTTTTTTTTTTTTGGTCGGTTGGTGGCCTGAACTCTGGGCTTGGGCGCTGTCCCTCAGGTCTTCAGTTCAAGGCTAGCATTCTACCACTTGAGCCACAGCTCCACTTCTGGCTTTTTCTACTTATGTCGTGCTGGGAATCAAATCCAGGGCTTCATACATGCAAAGCAAGCACAAGCACTCTACCACTGAGCCACCGTCCCAGCCCCAGTAATTGACTTTTATTACAAGTGTGTACGAATTTCTTGTGTATCCTGAATAAAACTCTGTTTCCAGCTATATGCTTTTCACATACTTTGATTGTAGCTTAACATTTTCATTGTTTTTAATGGTGTGTGTGCATATGTGTTTATGTGTGTGTGTATGACAGAGAATTGCTCTCCATTTGTCCTTCAGATATTTTTTTCTGCCACATTCTTATTTCTCTATTTTTAAAACTCCACAGGTTATCTTAGTTACTTGGATATTGTTCAATTGATACATGAGACTTCTTTAATTTTTTAAGTGTTTTGTCTTTAGCCTTCAACTAAATGTCTGAATTAGTTTGGTCTCCATTAGGTGTAGGTCACATCTTGTGTTTTTATATGTCTACTAATTTTTTAATTATGTTGTAGACACTGTGAGTAATAGACTGTAAACATCTTGAGATTCTGTTTTATTTCCATGAAAAGAGCTTATGATAATGGTAGTAGTACCAGTATGTGTGTCTTATGTGTTTAACAGTGGATTTGCTCTTGTAATTTAATCTTCCAGTTTCTGTCTGGTTTTGATCAATCTTTAGTACTACTTTTGTGTACTTACTTTTATTATTTGTTATACATAAGCTTTTATGTACATTGAGTACAATGTAAATTGTGTGCCATTACAAGTAATAGAACTATACTAAGATATAATTTTATAATCAATACTAAGAAAATTCAGATTTCAGCCTCTGGTTTTGTCTTTCACTCACAAAATAGCAGAGCTCATTGTTTATTTGTTAAGGGAAAATCTGACTGGTAAGGAATTGCTGTGTTGTAAAACAGTTTTAAAGCACTTCAGTTTTAGTACTCCCAACTAGTAATTACTCTCCCCTAGTAACTAAAACTAGGAGAACAACCCCTCTTCTGTGGCTATACTTTCCAAAATATGTAAGGAGTTTTAATTATCCTATTATTATTATGTATAACAAAGTTATTCTTTTTTAAGTTTTTTGAATTTTTTCTCTTAAATTTTTACATTTCCTTCTTTGTGTTGTTGAAAACTATTAAATTTGAGGTGTATTACAACAAAATTCTGGATTAAAGTATTATCTGGATTCTCCCAAATTCTAAATTAGTGCCATCAAAATACATATCCCATTTCAAGGTCACAGATTATTTCTGCCCCTGTTCATGTACATCTTTGTATATTCAGACTACTACTGTACTTTTTTTTCTCTAACTGGAGACTTGAGCTGCTTCATGCTACAGTTTATTGCATGGGAAATAATAGTCTTCAAGGTACATAATTACAGTTAGAATGGAGGAATAAATTTTAAGCCACCTCTTGTACAGTGAGATGAATACTGTTAATAACAACCTATTGTACTCTTGAAAAATGTGAAACATGTTAATATGTATTCTCACCAAAAAAAAGAGAATACTATATAAAGCAATACTTTATTAGCCAAATTTAATTTTTATACTTTAAAATATCCTATCTGATGTTAAACAATATACAGTATTGCCTACTTAAAACAGTAAGTAAAACTAATTGAGAAATAAAATAATGAAATCCCTTCTTATATATCAGCTGTGAATGCTAGAAACAGTGAGATTTGGTGAATACCCATGTCTATGATTAGTAACCTTGGGAATATCCTTTATCTTAATTCTTACCTGAACACAGAGGAAGGACTGGGAAAATTCAGATCTTATTTTTAAATAAATTCTCTGGTTTCTTTTTTCCTTTAAAAAAATTGAAATTTTAAGTTGTTAGATTTTAAGTACTGTCATCTTGGTTAAACTTTGAAATAACAAAGCTTACCATATTATAATTATATGTCATTTGGCTATGTATGGCCCACCATCTTAATAATAGACAACAAATAGGTAAATTTAATATTAATTTTCCACTAACAACTTTAAAGACTATTATAAAATGCTAGAGTCACTGCTAAATTAAAGCATTGCACTTAGGATAAATCTTTGAGTAGATTACAAGTCCATTGGTAAAGCACTGGATATAGGTAGAAGACATTTATTAAGGTTTTAAAAAAAAGGAATATAATCTTTTAAATCTAAAGATTTCCTTCCAAAGAGTTCCGTGAACAAACCAAGAAAAAGTAGGAATGCATATGGCAACTTCATTTATTACTATGTTAGCTAACACTAACATTAATTAGGGCAGATGGACTTGAAATTGGCAAAATGGAGAATCTATCATATCTTTTACAAAATTGAATTGTGGAAAGGAAAACGTGAGCCAATCATTTCCATGTTGTACAAATAACATCCACCAGGTAATTTCTCAGTGAATTTTCCATGATTCATATGGGCTCCTATAACAAAATGTTAGCAACTGGTTGCATTTCTCACATTCTGGATACTGGGAAATCCAAGATCAAGACACTGACAATTCATTGTCTAGGGAAGGCCCACTTGGTGTTTCATGCTGCAAAGAGTGATAGCTTCACCCTGTTCACCCCATCACTTTCCAAAGATCCATTGTCCTGATATGTTTGGGGTGAGGATTTCAAGCTAAGAATTTGAGGAAAACACAAGATTGGAGCCATAACAGTTTCCTACTTCAGTGTTCCCAAATGCTGTTTGATTGCCATGCAGTGATTCTAAAAGATTTTGACCAAAATGTTTTATAACAAACTTATTAGAGAATGTTCAAGAAAAGTTATTACCTTTAGTGATGATTGAGAATATAAATGAAAATTAAACCTAATTTTTAGGGAGAACGTATGAGTTTAGCAGAATGCCACAGAGAAGAACACACTGGAAGAACTTCTCATTTTACTTTACTACACAGGATATTACCCTCTTAATGTCGTTCTCTCTTTATTTCCACTTAAGTTTCTACTAGAAAACTTACTCTTTAGATTTAAAACTCAGTTAAGGACTTGCATGCATAAAGAGAAAGTCTCATGCTCTTTCACAGCTATCTGTTATACTAGCAGGTGGATGTGTCTGTATTATTCACATTTATTTTGTAGACCTACAGTAGAGTCTTTGTCCTCATATTCTAATATATGCCAACTGAAAAAAGTTGGAATGAGAATTGAGAAAGCCATCAAAGAAACCTATGTATTCTATGTCAGTGCCAAAGTAAGAATTAAGATAATCTAATCTGTGTTGTTGCGGGCACAGGAGGAACGTTATTTGGAGTGTTTCTGGAATGACAGTCTAGAATAGTTCCTATTCAGCTTATTTCATATTTCACTATCCCAATAAAAATACTCAAGATCTGCTTTTTTTGTATGTCTAGTTTAAATCTTATTCTGGGTTCAGCTTGGATAACTCTTGGGAATTTTAAAATTATTTTACTAGTTTGTAATAAGAAAAACATACACCAAGCATACAAGTATATTTTAAAGTACAAAAGAATACATATGAGGGGCTGGGAATGTGGCTTAGAGGTAGAGTGCTTGTCTATCATGCATGAAGCCCTGGGTTCGATTCCTCAGTATCATATAAACAGAAAAACAAAAGCCATGTGTAGCTCAAGTGGTAGAGTGCTAGCTCAGGGACAGTGCCCAGGCCCTGAGTTCAAGACTCAGAACTGACAAAAAAAAAAAAAAGACTGTACATGAAAAACCCATTTTCCCCATGAAAACAGCACTCTTTGGACATGTGTACCCTGATAGAGCTACCTTATGCATCGATGAGTATGTAATAGTTCTTTTTAACAGGTAGTAACACTGGGCCATGTACATTTTTCTTCTACATTATATATCTTGGAGCATTATAGAAGTACTAAAACAGCTTCAGGTGCAGTTGCCATGGTTTCTGTTTCTCTGAGGGGTTGATTCATGGATATTATTTTATTTAACCTAGTCCCTCATTGGTGAGCATAACTACCCATAGAATTACTTTCTCTAGAAAGAATTATGACAGTTAAAAGTGTATATAGTATCAGAAAAAAATCATAGGTATAGTTATCAGGAAAACAAATGATATAAATTAGGTAACTACAAATGAATTCTAGACTGCAGTAATAGTAATGTGCAGATTGAATATTTCTTTCTCTTGATTATTTAGCTGCTAATGAACTAGCACATGGTAGTTAGTGTGCTTTAAAATAAACTGTCTTACATTTCAAGAACATGGAAATTTCATTCTCATCCTTATGTGAATAATAATGTAATAATAGTCCAATACTATTTATAGCTATTCATACTATTTTATCTCATTTAATTCTCACAAAATCCTATGAAGTTATTGTAATCATTATCATAATTTACAGATCAGGAAACTGAGGCCCAGAGATACTATATAATTTGCTAGAGCTGGCAACAGATAGGTCTGGGACCTAGAACCAACATAATTGAAAAGCCAGAACTTGTGTGCAAACCAGGAGACTAACTTTCTGGAAACCATGTAACATGTACATACATTTATATCTATCATATCTTAGGTTGTACTGTTATTATGCATAATATTTCTCTTTCTTTTGTCATTTTGGGCTTTCAAACATTCCTTTCAGTAAAGGAGATAGATTAAAAACAGAAAGCTTTTCTTTGTGCTTTATCCTAAGACACCTAGAAAATTGGGAACCAAATTAAATAGTCTTTGACAGTATCATAAATAAATATGTAGTGCTTTTCCATTTTCCCCTATAAATTCATGACCCTCGAGATATTTCAAATATATGCCTAGGAATCTCCCAAGAAACATTTATCATCATAAATGTTTAAATGTTTTTTAAAGCAAGAGCTTCCTGTGGTTCTTTCAACAAGCTCCCATGGCACTTGTCATCAGCATGCAAGTGACTGTGTTCCCCTTACCTTGCCACAGAGGTTTAGGTGAAATACTGTGGGCATGACGATTGCATTTGGTAGGCCTGCTAGGAAGGGTCGTGGAAAGGTCATCCTTGGTTTGTTCATGGAACTCTCTTTTACATACAGTAGATGGCAATGATGATGTTACATCCTAAGGGGGAAAATGGTCCATTTTATAAAGGTTTATTTTCCTGCTTTATACACTGTAGTCCTGTTGTGTGTTTTTGATTTAGTAACAGTTTATGTGTTTTTCTGTCACAGAGCACTGCGGCCTGTGGTGTTGAGGCTCACAGCGATGCCATCCAGCCCTGCCACATCAGAGAGGCCGTTCGACGCTACGGCCACAAGATTGGCCCCCTCTCCCCATTCACAGTACGTAATAACAGAGTTATAAGAAGTTATATTTATAATCTGAAAGAATTTTGATTTTCAAGTGGTCAAATGAAGAAGCAATGGAATTGTTGAAAGCAATTTGTGGCAGCCGTAATTTTGTTGTAGAAAAGTGGCATAATTCGCAAGGGAAATAAAAGTCATTTTTGTCTCTTTTTTTGGAAGGGTAAGTTTTTTCTACAAAATATTATTTTCTTTCAATTACATATTAAACTTGTTTGTTGGAGCTGATATTTTCTATTTTCCAAAACTTAGGTTTATAAAACTTTTTGTCAAATTATATGTATCCAAATATTGCTAGAAGCATTTTATATTTTAAAATTGGTTAAACTGGCATTACCACTTCTATCAGATGTCCTCCTCCTAAACATACTTTGAGTTGGAAGAAGAAGAAATGATTTCTTTACTGCCTTTGAACTAGGCTGAACTGCAGACCAGCTTTCACATCTTCAAATGATCTGAAAGCCTGTAATCAGGGTTTTGTTGTTTTAATGGAGAATTAAAGACTTGATATTTCAGCAGTCTGAAGAAAGTGTGTGTGTCTTCGTGTGTGTATATGTATATTAATTAAATGCTCCTCTTATAGCTGCCCTTCAAAATAATTTTTACTAATATTAACAGAAGTTTCATAAAGTCTTTCTCTGTTTCTATGAAGTTAGTTTGATATTTGGAAAGTAAGGTTTGGTTTACATAACAAAGGAGCAGTAAAATTGACTTTTTGAAGATATTTACTCTTATTAATTTACTAATCCAGAATATATATAAATAACATTATTTATAAACAAGCAAGTAATAAATTATATTGTATACATTTTTACCTAGAAGAATGGAATTAGCTAATTTTTGTTTATATAAGTAATCAGGTTTTCTTTTTTTCCTTATATCTAAAGTCAATGTCTTTTCCTTTTTTATTCCTGTTAGTTATTGTGAATTCTGTGAATCCTCTATGTGATTTAAGAATGTGCTTTATATATGCCTCTAAAAGCTTTTCATAATGGTGACAGTCATTTTCACTTCTCGCAATGATTTTTTTCTGGTCCTGCCAATGGTCCCCAGGGCTTTGTAAACATACCCTCAGCACAGATGCCTCTGCAGCCAGAGCATGATGTTAATACTACTGATGAAAGCAATACATACTTTTGCATGAGTATTTGTAGTCTTGTAACTAAAACAAAAGAATGAAATCAAGTGTTTTTTTCCAACTTGCTAGGTAAAGTTACTTTAGGCAATAAGCCAAAAGGAAGGTAATATTTAGGAAAAATATGTGATAGTTGGAAGTAAAAAATTGAAATGAGTCAGACCCACAGACTTGTCAGTAATCCTAGCTATTCTAAAGGCTGAGATCAAGAAGATCACAGTTCAAGGTCAGCCTCAGCAGAAAAGTTCAATATACTCCATCTCCAAAATAACCAACATGAAGCAGGGCCGGAGGCGTGCCTAGCAAGCATGAAGCCCTCAATTCAAACCGAGCACATAATTAAATAATTAAATCACAAAGAATAAAAGGAACTGGCTTATAAAAAAAAAGGATTTAAGATTTAAAAGTATCAAATCCATAGATAAGAGACAAAGAATGACTAGCAAAATAAAGAGAGAAGAAAAAGACTGTTAATTATCCAGAAACCTTTAAAAAAAAATAACAAAGAGAACAGGATTTTTGAGAAGTAACCTAAAATGTTGCCTTAAAAGGGGATAACTTCATAATTAAGTCTTCCTCAAAAAGAAATGGTGCCTACTGTGTTGTTTTATTTTTATTTATTTTTTACCAGTCCAGGGGCTTGAACTCACAGCCTGGGCACTGTCCCTGAGCTTCTTTTGCTCAGGGCTAGTACTTTACCACTTGAGCCATAGAGCCACTTCGAGCTTTTTCTGTTTATGTTGTACTGAGGAATCGAACCCAGGGCTTCATACATGCTAGGCAAACACTCGACCACTAAGCCACATTCCCAGTCTTGAGTTCATTTTTAAATAGACTAGGCAATCACTGGAACCATCTTAGCTGATTATTTGTACATTATTATGTTCATGTCTGTGCATTTATACATCATAGAACCTACTTGGTATTCATGTATTACTTTTACAATCTAGGAGCATCGTTGAGGGTAAAAATGTACTTAAATCACATGTTCAGATAGAACTTAAGCTAATTTTTAATCTAACAAACATATAGCCAATGTGCTTTTATAATTCTTAAATACATCTGGAAAATAGAACAAATAGTCCCAGACATGTGATAGCCACTATTAGAGCAGACAAGCAAGCAGCAGAAGTGAAAATCCCCCCTTCAGGGCAGTACCCAAGGTTTTCCCATTCTTCAGCAAAGCCTCACCTGGAAGTTCTCCTGAATTACCTACAATTTTTCAGAATTTACTCAGTCTTCAGGGTATAGTATGCCTATTCCATGCTGTATCATGAGCAACCTGGTTGAGTAGACACAGTTTCATGAAATATATTGCAATAGCTAAGTCTGCCTTTGAAAATTAGGCACTCGTGGAGCTGGGATTGATTGACAGGCTGTGTATGGTAGCAGTAGTGGCCACTGCCCTGACTCCCTCAGACTTCCAGCTCCTAGAATTAGATGATAGTAAAACAGCTTGATGCTAGAGGTTGCTATTGTTCAGTTCTGTAAGGTCTGAGTTGTGTTTTAAGCTTCTGTGAAGCTTTGAGCTGCAGCTCACCTCAGTAGAGGAAATGTGGTCACTTCTCTAAAAACTGTAGATTGAGACTTCAACTTTCATGCAGGAAAGTTGAGCTGACCTACTTCCAACATAAAATTTTCTGTGAAAGTTAAAGTGCTAAAGAATAGTCTTTCCTATTACACATGTCGTAGTAATAGTATATTTTTGCTTTGTTTTATATTTGATAACTGATGAGATGCTGAACATTTTATGGGCTTACTAATAATTCATATTTCTTTGACTTTGGACTGTATCTATTTTTCTGTAAAGAACTAGTATATTTGTTATCAATATGCTAGTTTATACCAAAAAGTTGCTAATTTTTTAAGTGTGAGTGAGTGTGTGTGTGTGTGTGTGTGTGTGTGTGTGTGTGTGTGTGTGTGTCTCCTGCAGGTTGAACTCAGTGTCTGGGTGCTGTCCCTGAGTTTTTTCACTTGAGGCTGGCTCTCTACCACTTACCACAGCTCCATTTCTGGCTTTTTGGTGGTTAATTGGAGATAAAAGTTTCACAGACTTCCCTTCCCCCAGCTACCTTCAGAGTGTACTCTTCAGAGCTCAGCTTCCTGAGAAGCTAAGATTACAGGCCTAAGCCACTGATACCCAGTGGAACTTCTAAGCCATTTATAAATTATACATTAAATTTTTAGCAGACACTTTTCTACTTCTTCATTTATCTTTTACTTTTTCTTATTGATATTCAGATGTGTGTTTCACCTAGCTCATCAGTAGTTACAAAGTGGTTGTTCCCATAGTTGCCTGCTTTGCCACTCAAGCCTACGTCTCAATGAGAAGTGCTATAAATGTCTGATATAAACAAGGTCTGTAATTTTGAAAGCCAGAGAAAGGAAACTGTTAAGTGAGATGACATAATCCCCTGTGCAATGCCTAAATCTATTTCAGTTCTTCCTAATAGTCAAGGTATAAAAATACATTAACCCCTGAGCTTTCATATGATCAGGTGGTGCTCTCTTGAACTAGAATATGAGAAAACAGAATTGCTTATCTAAGCATACTTGTTAACCTAAATAACTTTAGATGTATCTCTCGAAGCAAGACTACCTTAAATTGTGGAAGGTAGCCATAACATTTTAAAGCTAGGTAGGGCACTGAGGGTGTGGCTCCAGTGATAGCTTGCATGGCAAGCCAAACAATCGGAGTTCAATCTCCAGTAATTGGGTATGATAGGGGAGGGAGGAGTGGAGGAGCATGTGAAAGGGAAAAAATAAAGAAGCTTAAGGAGAGAGAGCAGCAGACAGTGGGAGAACAAGAGAATGAACTAGCTAGGATTGGAGAGCCAGTCACGATTCACATCAGAGAAGACTACAATATACCCACAGATACCTTTCAAGTACATGAAGAAGCTAACTCTCTCAGGTTGTTCTTATAGCATTATTCAGAGATATTCCTAATACATTAATAAGTATCAAAAATAGAAAATCGCCTATTAGAATTCTGTACATTTTACTTTTTAAAAAAAGACAATAATTGCATATCAGACTCTGTGGCTATTTTGATGTAAAATTTCACATTCATGAATAATTCTGATGTCAGAGCACACTAAACCTGTCAGCATTTTCTGTTTACTCTGGAGTATTAAATGTCACCAAAATAGTTTTCAACAGTTTTCAAATGTAAATATCAAGTTGAAAATGGTAAAATTCATAAATACATTTTTATTTGAAATGAAATCTTCTTAGGTTTGGGGGGAGTACTAAAATCTTACAGATAGGCACTGAACACACTGTTAAGCCACTGATGATCAGAAAGCAATTAACATGTGGCGTGTTTATCATATTAAAAAACACAAAAATTGAGTGTCCCATGGGAAAATACCAAACTTTTCCTGCAATTGTTTTTAATTTTAAACATGGCAGGTAGAAGTAAAATTTCCATTACAAAATTTTATTAGGTCAAATCATATGAAACTGCAGTTTCTCTAGGTTATAAACAGTTGAGTATCAGAAATGTTGTACGGTCCAATTGTGTTCAATTTAGGATTATTCAGAGAATGTTGGAAATGTGAAAATAAAAAAGCAGAAAAGTTGGGAAGGAACTTTATTGGAATTGGTAATCATTTTGGATTAAGTCATACTTTCAAGAGAAGTTTTTTATCTTCATCATCATATTTATTCCTCTGGACATCACAGTCAGATTAATGTTCTCATTCCCGTAAAGCTGAGATTTAGAGAAAATTTAAGTAACCAGCACCCAGTCAGGTAGCAAATAATAGCGCTGTTTGTGTGGATAGGAGAAATGCTGCATGACCCCTGGAGCCATGAGCCTCTGTGATTTCCAGAAAGCCTA